TTCCCCAAATAGTGTTTTAGCTGGAGGGCACACAATGGAGTGGGTAAAACTATGCACGGTTGATCTCATTGTTCCAAGATACCCCAGTTGCTTTAATTGTGCCAGGCATGGGTGCCAACGACCTCAGCTTTGGGTACCTGGTGTATCTGGAGGAGCTTCCTCCCCCCCTGTTCCTGAGCAGCTCCCCGTCCTCCTTGGCTTTACAAACCCAACCCATTTCTTAACTATCATCTGCAGGCTACTGCAGAGCGGCAGAGGACGGGGAGTGTTAGACAAAAACCAGCCGGGCTAAAGCAAAGTGGCCGTGTGCCAATAAAAGTGGACATGGTTCAAAAGAGGGCTCTGCTACCAACCCCGTGTTTTGTTGTTTTTTTTTGCACAGAATCTTGATCCCTGAGAAGCTGTATTTCTAGCCTTGGGGAACGCTCCAGTTGTAAATTGGGCCACAAGGAGGGATTTCTGTATGCCACTGCAGAATAACACCCAGATCAGGGGTGTCCAGTCTTGGCAAGTTTAAGACCTGTGGACTTCAACTCCCAGAAATCCCCAGCCAGCAAAGCTAGCTGGGGAGTCTGGGAATAGAAGTCCACAAGTCTTAAACTTGTTAAGGCTGGACACTTCTGATCTAGATGCTCACTCTCTTGAGAGGTAGAACTGAGAAACAACAGGCCAAAATCCCAGCTCTGAAATCAATTTCACTGATTGGACATGAGCCGGTGATTATGCTTCAACCTACCCTGCAAGGTTGTTGTGAAGATAAAAGAGGAGTGGTATGATCTATTAGGAGGCAGGGGAGAGTTCACAAGTGGGAAAGGGCTATAAGAATGGCACACCTCTGCATCTACATACCTGCAGCTGCACATCTGCAGAAGAAAGCTATTTCTGTCCCTAAAATATCTCAGAAGCTGCTGTCAGTCCACACTATGTTAAATATCCATCAACAGACAGAGATAAATCACATTTACATACCATTGAAGAGGCAATAAAACAGCTCAGAAAGGAAACAAAAAGACCACTGACACGTACTCTCCAACACCAGATAAACAAGGATTGATACCAGACAAACAACTGAACAGAAAATAATACCCCAACCAAGGAACTACCTTGAAGAAGACAACAAGACCACCAACACTAGCAGGGCAAGCTACTGTATACAAACCGGAAGGAGTGTATATATGTATACACTCACTCGCACTGATGATGGATAACATAACTTCTGCAAGTAAATAACCAAAATCATTGAACACCGAGAATTCCACTGTTAAATCCTGAGCTATTTATATTCTCATCTATTAAATAGAATAATTGTGTGACATAGAAAAAAACAGCTTTCCTTTACAAAGGTCTAACAAATGCGTATGCTTTCTTTTTAAAAACCTAAATCTAAATATAGGCAGCACCTAGTGGGGATCTAATTTTTTGGGACCCCTGACTTGGAGTAGCTGTATGTTGAGGAAGAAAGGCAGAAGGCACAGCAAAAAAAGAATCCCTAGATCCCTGCGTGGAATAGCAATTGCTAAGAGGAACAAAGATCCACTGGAACCCAGCTTGCAGTAACAGAGAACCAAAACTTCCACTTTTTGGAAAACTCCCTTTGTTCAGCAAAATATAAACTGCTTGCAACAAATATGAAAATAATAGAGACATCAGCGCTTTTAAATAGAAGGTTTTTTAGAACTTGTTATTTGGGGGGGGATACCATCGTTTGGCTGAAAAGCTATCTCTCCAATTGCAACAGCTTTGTGTGTGATTCAAGAACAGAGAGCAAGACAGTCTATGGTTCAAACAATCTCATCTTATATAGGGGAAATGTACATGCTGGAAATAGGATCATCAAGGGAATCAGAATCAGAATAGAGCTGGAAGGGATCTTTAAGATCCTCTCTACTCCAACCCCCTGCTCAAGTAGGAGACACTATACCATTTCAGACAAAAGATGTCCAGTCTCTTCTTAAAAACTTCCAGTGTTGGAGCATTCACCGCTTCTGGAGGAAGGTTGTTCCACTGGTTAATTGTCCTCACTGTTAGGAGGTTTCTCCTTAATTCCAGGTTGCTTCTCTCCTTGATTAGTTTCGATCCATTGTCCTTCCCTCTGGTGCTTTGGAAAATAAGTGGACCCCCTCCTCTTTGTGACAACCTGTCAAATACTGGAAACTGCTATCATGTCACCCCTAGTCCTTCTTTTCTCTAGATTAGCCATATCCAGTTCCTGCAACTGTTCTTCATGTTTTTGTCTTCAGGCATTTTATCATCTTATTTGCTCTTCTTTGCATTTTTTTTTTCAGAATCTCAACATGTTTTTATAATGTGGTAACCAAAACTGGATGCAGTATTCCAGGTGTAGCCTTACTAAGGCTTTATAAAGCGGTACAAATACTTTACATGATTTTGATTCTGGGCCTCTCTTATACAACCAAGGATTGTATTACCTTTTTTGGATGTTGCCGCACACTGCTGGCTCATATTTAAGTGATCGTCTACTAGGACTCCAAGGTCTCTCTCACTATTTTTGAGCCAGGTTTCGCCTAATCTGTACTTGTACCTTTGGTTTTTCCTGCCTATGTATAAAACCTTGCTTTTCTCCACATTAAATATTATTTTGTTGGACAGGGCCCATTGTTCTGTTGAGATCTTTTTGGATCCTGAGCTTGTCTTCTGGGGTGTTGGCTATTCCTGCCAGCTTAGTGTCGTCTGCAAATTTGATGAATTCTCCTTCTATGCCCTCATCTAAATCATTTATGAAGATATTGAAGAGTATTGGGCCTAAGACAGAACCTTGTTGTATTCCACTGCTTACTTCCCTCCATATAGATGTAGTACCATTAAGGACGACTTGTTGAGTATGGTTTGTCAGCCAGTTACAAATCTATCTGTTGTAATGTTGTCTATCCCACATTTTTCTAGCTTACCAAGAAGCTGGTTGTGATCTACTTTGTCAAGTGCCTTGCTGAAGTCTAAGTATACTATGTCCACAGCATTTTGCTGGTCTACTAATTTAGTTATTTGGTCAAAGAATAAAATAAGATTGGTTTGGCATGATCTGCTTTTAACAAACCTATGCTGGCTTTTAGTTATAACTTTATTTGTTTCTAGATGTCTAGATGTTATTTGTTTCACAGATCTGTTTTTTGATTATCTTTTCCAGAATTTTCCCAAGTATTGATGTTAGATTGATCGGTCTGTAGTTTCCTGGGTCTGTTTTTTTTTTTTTTTCCTTTTTTGAGGATGGGAAATACATCAGCTCTTTTCTAATCCTCAGGTAATTCCCCAGTGTTCCAGGATTTTTGAAAGATATGGTTCAATGGTTCTGCGATAACATCTGCCAGCTCCTTCAGAACTGTGGGATGTAATCCATCAGGTCCCGGTGATTTATATTCATCAAGATCAGATAGATGTTCACTAACCATTTTCTTGCTTATTGTAATTTTTATTTCTAGTCTGTCTTTTACAGTTATGTTTTTGGTAGGTTGGGCTATAGTTTCTTTTTGCGCGAAGACCGACGCAAAGAATGAGTTAAGCAGCTCTGCTTTCTCTCTACTGCTTGTTACTTCCTTGCCACTTCTCTCTTAAGAGTTAAGGAAGAGTTAAGGCTACAACAAGCACCCTGTGCTTTGAGATCAGAGCAACAGCATCATTGGGAAAAATCTCCCGCTTCAGGTCCAAGCATTTCCAAGAAAGGCTGGAAAACCCATACTGTACATCAGGAATCTCAAAGAGCTCAAACAGGCAGTATTGAGCTACACGACTCAATTTCCTATGTTTCTCTGTATCATGAGATGTTCTTCCAGAAATTAGAAATCTTCAATCTTATTGATTTATGTCTGACTCCAGTTCTCACCAATTCCAGAGCTAATAGGGTTGGTGTCCTGCAATATTCTTTCTTACCTGTGCCCTAGTTCCTTTGACCCATAATTTATGGGGTAAACCATCTTTGAACATGGTGGCTCCCCAGTTCCTAGCACCTAACATTTAGATAGGTTGCCTCTGAATAAGGGAGCCCACGGTGCATAACCGTTGAAGAAGAGCTGTCTTGATTTGAAACAGAGAAAAACTATCTAATGAATAAATTTTAACATCCACTTCCCTACACTGGGTAGTGACGATGACTCCAATAATGCCACAAGCAAGGAATGAAAGTGATGATCGATTTTGTTTTGTCCCCAGGAATGACAGAGGCAGATTGCTACTGTGTTCTCTGGCTCCATTTAATTACCCCACCTAGCAGAAGATGGGAAAGCCACATGAGGACACATATAATTTATTCTTTGCCAAATGAGATACATAGCAAGAAATGGCTATTGCAATCTTCTCAACCTGATGCTCCCCAGATGTGTACTGGCAAAAGATGCTGGGAACTGAAGTCCAAAACATCTGGAAGGCGACACGCTTCTTCCCCCCCCCCCCCCGGTCTCTTTCTGACTCTGGATACGGGAGGGTGTTAATGGGTGAATTCTTGCAAGCTTCCATATCTAAGGGTAGCTTATCTGCTGGAGGACTAGAACTACAGTGCATGAGCTGGGTTACAATAGGTACCATTGCCCTAAATATAGAATGATGATCTACGACGGGTCTTCCCTGAATCCAACAGATGAAAGTCGATAGTTGGTGTCTATAGAAATTCACGGGAGTAGTAAATAATGGTTTAAAGATAAACATCCCTGGCAACAGAATTCTCCGGCTGGTATTTTTCTAGCAGTTGGTAACCTGAAGAATGAATACTCACGGATGTGGAAATCAATAGCAATTATCACAATACTCCGTTTTACAATAGCTGGGCACCACATGAGTCAACCAGAGGGCCACAGCAATCAGAAATTGCCCAGTCTTCTCTCCCCAGGAATCTACCTCGTCTAAGATAGACTGCACCTGCATATGGAGGCTTCTAGCGTCCTTCAAACTGGACGATGGCTTGCCCTGCTCTTTTTCCTCGGTAGCGGCCCTGGAAGACAGGCTGCCCCTGGCTGTGGAGGCTCTAGAGAAGGAGGGCGAAGGAGGCTTACCCGGGTCCTGAAGGGCATGGGGGGCTCGTCGACATCGTCGCCCTCCAGCTCCGGTTCCTGCCTGATGCTGATGAAGGGGATGTCCAGAAAGGCGGCGGCGAAATCCACCTGGAGCAGCTCCCGCCGGGACGCGGGAAAGGCGAGCACGGCGGCGACTCCTCGCACCACCAGCGCCTGGCACAGCCAGCGCGCCAGCGAGGCCGGGTCCCGATAGAGGGGAGCCCCGGGCAACACCTCCAGGCTGAGGTTGTAAGGTAGGGCGGCGGCGGCGGCGCGGCTGGCCCGAGCCAAGGCGTTGCGCACCCGGCTCTGCGCGCCTCCTCCGCGGGGCAGCAAGGCGCCCAGCCGCACCGTGTGCCCGATCCGAGCCAGGATGTGGCAGGGCTGCGGGTGACCCCGGCCCGGCGCGGGGAGCAGCAGCAAAAGGCTGCAGGGGAGCGCCAGGCACCAGCAGCAGAGGAGCGCCCGGCGCAACTCCATAGAGGAAGCCTGCGCGACGTGGGCGGGCAAAGTTTGGGGCGCCCGGCCCCTCCGCCCCCCCCGGCCCCTAAGTGGGCAGGAGGGCTGGGGGCGCCTAGGAGGGGAGGGAAGGGGCCGGGCAGGGCCCGCCCATGGGAGCGTCGGGGGCGGAGGAAGGAGCCGGGCGCTGCTTGAGCTGCAGCCGATCCAGTGCCCGGACGCGCTCTGCGCTCTGCCTGTCGCTCGCTTTCCCGGCGAAGACGGGATAGGCTGCCTTGGCGCGGTTGGGCCACTGGGGGCGCTGGACGCGGCGGGGACCCGCCAAAAGAGGGCGGGTCGGTGGGCCGAGAGAGCCGCCCGGCCGCCTCTGGGTAGGGTGGCATCGCCGCCTTGCAGGGCAAAGAGGGTTACTCAAACGGGTCGCCCGAGTGATGAGAGGGAGAGAGGGGCGATGGCGACGAGGACGCGTCCGAAAGAGAGCAAGAGAGAAAAAGCGAAAGGCGACGGTTTCAGCACGTGGCCTCTGGGCACGCACAGAGGGCGGAGGAGACAGGTGGCCAGGGATCGGAGATAGACGAGGTGAGGCGAGAAGGGCGATCGGGACGTGGCGGAGGAGGTGGTCGGTCAGTAAGTCAGTCAATCAATCAATCAATCAATCAATCAGAATTAGAGCTGGAAGGGACCCTGGAGGTCTTCTAGTCCAACCCCCACAATTTCAGACAAGTGTATGTCCGGTCTCTTCTTAAAAACCTCCAGTGATGGAGCACCCACAACTTCTGGAGGCAAGCTGTTCCACTGATTAATTGTCCTCACTGTTAGGAAGTTTCTTCTGAATTCCAGGTTGTTTCTCTCCTTGGTTAGTTTCTACCCAGTGCTTCTTGTCTTGCCTTCCGGTAGTAGAGCAGTGGCTTGGATAGGAGCGGGTCGGAGACGGAGCTCCGAGCAGACGGAGGGGCAGATGGAAATTAGAGCACGGAGCCGGTGCAGAGCGTCTCTGAGGGTGTGCAGAGTGCAGGCGATCCAGGATGCCAGGGAGGGACGGAGAGGACGGGTCATTGTCCATTGATGTGAGCAATAAGAAAAGGGAAAGCATCTCAAAACATAGGCAGAGTAGAAAGAAAGCGGGCGAAAGAGGAATGTTTCAAACCGGATTCGGTAAGGGTCGGTGAACAGTATGGATTTATCAGGAGCTTTAATCTGTAGCAAGAAAACGGAACTTCCTTATTCAGAGGCAGTCTATCTCTAAGCAATAAACGCCAAGGACAAATAAAGGAAGGTCGATTCTTCGGAGCTCCGCATTGTTGGAAATAAAATAATGGGCTAAATACACGTTTTATCCAAAGCCGGAGTTAATTATTAAGTTAAGAAATTTTAAGAGGTTACTTTGCACCTCGTCTTGACGATCGTTTCCAACTTCCAAGAAACAGCTTGAGCCAAAAGGAAACATCACTTGATGTTAACCAATAAAATGATTTTTTTCCCCAAACCATTATTCTTATCTGGACCGATAGTTTGTCATTCAGTGCAAGATCCAACTACTAACTATGCCAATGTGGAGGATAATTGATACTGGGTCTAGAGTGAGCATTAGTCATGGCAAGAACAAATAAACAGAAAAAAAGACCCTCCTTATTTAGATGCAGTCTACCTCTGAAGTAAGAGGTAAGAGGTGATTTACCACAAAGAGTGAGGGGTGGGATTGAGATTTGCAAGTAACCGGTTCAGTCATGCGTAAGAAATATATACATCTTCTTTGCACCCAAAAATCCATTTTCACGTTCTTCTTTTAATAAGCTATCAGTGCTGAAATTTCCATCTCCCCATCAACCAAGCCATTTTATTTGGAAATCAACTCACTTAAGGTGGTACAGTAATTGTATTTTCAGTATGGGTACCCTTTGCTGTCATAAAAGCCCTTCGGGAACTAACCAGAGATTTTAAGCACCAGGAGAAAATATTAAAATGCTGGGAGAATCCCAAAACCGAGTGAAATGAAATGCAATCTATTGGGGTGGGGTTTTTTTTTTTTTTTTTTAATGTCTCCATTCCTGGAGTTTCTGCAGTTATTTTTTTCCCCAAGCATCTGTCCCTTTCACTGCTCTGTAAAATGAAATCTTTCAAAACTAATTCCACACATATATTTTTTTCACCTTTTCGAATTGCAGAGTCAACTAATTCCAGCCAAATTGATGTTTATCCCTGCCGTTTCGGAAGATTAGACTATAAATATTCTTCCTCCTTTCAGGATAGATGGGATTGCTCTATGATGTCACAGCAGCTGAGCCAATCAATGTCAGGGATGACACTATAAGAAGAATATCCTATACAAGCAGGCGGTCCTCGACTTATAACCACTTGTTTAGCGGCCGTTCAGAGTTACAAAAGTACTGAAGGAAATGACTTACGATGGGTCCTTGCGCTTACGACTGTCACAGCATCCTCTTGGTCACATGATCAGAATTCAGGCATTTGGCAACTAGCATGTATGTATGTGACGTTTGCAGTGTCCCGGTGTCGCTTCAGTGCCATTTGTGTTCATAAGTCGAGGACAACCTGTATATTTCTATATAGATTCCCATCTTGAACAGAAGCAGGATAGGTACGGACTGCTGGTTTTACTAAATGCCATTTGATAGAATAGAATAGAGCTGGAAGGGACCTTGGAGGTCTTCTAGACCAGCCCCCTGCTCAAGCAGGAGAACCTATACCGTCCCAAACAGGTGAATGTCCAGTCTCTTCTTGAAAATCTCCATTGATGGAGCATCCATGATTTCTGGAGGCAAGCCAATCCACTGGTTGATTGTCCTCACTGTCAGGAAGTTTCTCCTTAATTCTAGGTTGCTTCTCTCTCTGATCAGTTTCCAACCGTTGTTTCTCGTCCTGCCCTCTGGTGCTGTGGTGAACAACCTGCCCCCCTCTTCCATGTGGCAGCCTCTCAAATACTGGAACACTGCTATTATATCTCCCCTATTTCTTCTTTTCTTTAGACTAGCCAAGGCCAAGTCCCGCAGCCGTTCTTCGTATGTTTTAGTCTCCGGGCCTTTGATCATCTTAGTTGCTCTTCTCTGAATTTTTTCTTTTTTCTTTTGCTTGGTTCACATTATTCAGATTGTTCAAAACTGGGAATTAATAATGTGTAATAAATTCTGTAACCTATAATAATCGTATTATGTAACAGCACTCTGTTTTTATCAATCAGATGGCCGTAATAACAGGACTATGTCGTTTCCTTGGCAACATTTTCAGAAGTGATTTGCCAATACTTTCTTCCGGGATAGGTTTTTTTTTTTTTTAACTACCCTGTCTCATTAAAGTAAAGAGTACAGGCAGTCCTCGACTTACAACATTTAGTGACCAATCAAAGTTACAACGGCACTGGAAAAAAGTGACTTATGACCGTTTTTCACACTTAGGACCATTGCAGCATCTCCATGGTCACATGATCAAAATTTGGATGCTTGGCGATTGATTCATGTTTATGACGGTTGAAATGTCCTGGGGTCATGTGATCAGCTTTTATGACAAACAAAGTCAACGGGGGAAGCCAGATTCACTTAACAACCGTGTTACTAACTTAACAACTGCAATGATTCACTTAATAACTGTGGCAAGAAAGGTCGTAAAATGGGGCAAAGCTCACAACAAATGTCTCACTTAACAGCATACATTTTGGAGCCTATTGTGGTCATAAGTCAAGGACTACTTGTAGATAGCCCAAAACAACTTAGCTGGCATTTGAATCTAAAGAAAGATGAGAACTCAGTTCTCCCTGGACCTAATGTGGAATGCTCAGTTGTTGTTTTTTAAATAATCAATAAGCTATTTAATAATTAAAAAATAGGTCAGTAGCTTTATCTTTTTTTTTTTTTTTTGCAGATTGGACTGGATTTCAGTCTTGGTTGTTTTAAAAAAAAGTAAAGTAAGGTTTAAAATAGCTTTGTTCATCACAGAAGTTTAACCTGATGGCTGAAATAAGCCACTTCCTGCATTTTCTGAACTGGTTAAGGCTGTTGTGTGAACGTAGACACCGTCTTTTTGAAGAGGTGGGCATTGACAGCAATTGTCCCACAACCCACAAAAGAAGGGGTTCCTATTTTAAATGATCAGAGAAGTTATTATTTTTCATTTGGATTGGTAAAACGGAACAATTAGAATATATTCCATAGGATTTCCAGTGGACATATTTTGCATTTCCCAACTTATCCTGTTTTATGGGGCTGTTGTCAGCCAATAAAAAAATAATTGAATAGCAGAAAAAGAGAGAGAGAGAGAAAATCAGTCTTCCCATAGGAAAAACACTGCCAAATTCGACTGGAAAAAAAATCCCATTCCTGTACTCAGCAACCTTTTCCCAGAGTTTGTGGAAATGTTGATTTTGTAGTAACACGGAGCTATTTGTGATTATAACAATGTCTTTAGAAGAGAATATTTGTATCTCAGGGTTGAACCGGGAGTCCTTGTTGCCCTCTGAACTTGCAGACTTTTCATTATAGTAATAGCGATAGCACTTAGACCAGGGGTAGTCCACCTTGGCTCTTTTATGACTCGTGGACTTCAACTCCCAGAATTCCTGAACCAGCGATGCTGAGGAGAAAGGGAGAGGTTTCATGCTGAGTCATGCTGGCTCAGGAATTCTGGGAGTTGAAGTCCACGAGTCATAAAAGAGCCAAGGTTGACTACCCCTGACTTAGACTTATATACTGCTTCACAGTGTTTTACAGATTCAGCACATTGCCCCCCAACAATCTAGGTTCTCATTTATACCGACCTCAGAAGGATGGAAGGCTGAGTCAACCTTGAGCTGGTCAGAATCGAACTGCTGGCAGTGGGCAGAATTAGCCTGCAATTCTGCATTCTCTAACCCCTGCGCCACCAGGGCTTTTTATCCAATTCAATATAGGTAGTCCTTGACTTGTGACCACAGTTGGGAACAGAATTTCCATTGCTAAGCAAGGCAGTTGTTTGTTAAGTTGCCCCTGATTTTATGATCTTTTTTTGCCACGGTTGTTAAGCAAATCACTGCAGTCATTAAATGAGTCATACAGCTGTTAAGCGAATCCAACTTTCCCCCATTAACTTTGCTTGTTGGAAGCCAGCCAGGAAGATCATAAATGGTGATGCTGCCCTTCTTGTAAATACATGCCACTTGTCAAGAGCCCCAATGACCACAAGGATGCTGTGACAGTTGTAATGGTCATAAATCCCTTTTTTTCTAGTGCCATTGTAATTTCAATTGCAATTTCAAAT